AGCTGGGCCGCAACAGGCGGGGAACCTTGGCTTCCTCCATCACTGGGGCAAGCAAGCCTCCTGTTCGCTTCAGCTGCGTGGCTGCCGGCCGCCATCTTTGTTGGCAGTTAATTTGCATATTGCCCTGATTAGCCAATGGGAAGCGTAGCGGAGGTACGGTTAATTACCCTTTTTGTCTTTTATTAGATAGGAGATATATATATATCTATCTATATATATATATATAAATATATATCTATATATAAATATTTATATATAAATAAATAAATAAAAGCCTAAGCGACCATTATGACTGGTCAGGCAAACAACCAGCCACTATGATGTGCACTGACCACCAGGGGCCAGAAGCTCAATGCAGGAGCTGCCCCCTGGTGGTCAGGGTGCTCCCAAAGCCACCTCCCATGGCCGGCCAATCTCCCCCTTCCCCTCCCAGTCGGGCCAGGCTGAGGGACCCCACGCATGCATGAATTCGTGCACCAGGCCTCTAGTATTCAGATAAAATAAATGCAATCTTAAATGGTAACAAATGACTTATGGAGTTACTTGAAGTTAATATGGTCTTAAACTAATATTATTGGTTGCCATCTGGTATTGTCTAGATCAAAGCTAGCGTAGTTATGATTCTAGATTAGTGTCTTATTATTTCGTATCTTAGAGTTAATTGCAAAGTATAAGGAGGTAAATGCATTTCTTTAAAAACTTGTGGGTACCACACTTATGTTTGTGTCCCAGAATTTGCCTTGACTTTGGAAAAATAATCAGTTTGAATCCTTTGGGGCTCGTAGATTCAACTCCCTGCAGCATGGATTCAGTAGAGATTACTCTGTAAATTTGGAGGAATTGTTTTGCCTTCTCGTTCTCATATTTCCCCCCATTTTCAGGTTTATGCAAATGGCATCCGAAACATTGATCTTCACTATATCATTCGTAAACTGGCAGCGCCTGTGATTTCTGTGCTCTTGCTGTCCCTGTGTGTACCTTATGTCATTGCATCTGGCGTTGTTCCTTTACTAGGTGAGTAATGCTGGCTGGGGAACTTGAGAGCACCTTTATTTTATTTTATTTTAAATATATTTTTATTGATTTCAGAGTGGAAGGGAGAGGGAGAGAGAGTAGAAACATCAATGATGAGAGAGAATCATTGATTGGCTGCCTCCTGCATGCCCCCTACTAGGGATTGAGCCCGAGACATGGGAATATGGCCCCGACCAGAAATTTGAACACTTGACCACTGAGTCACGTGGGCTCGGTGAGAGAACACCTTTATTGACATTGTTACATTATTGTCACATGGTATCATAGGTTGGCTGGCTCCAAATGCTTTATTTGTAAATATAAACCCAGCTAAAACAATGATTTCAAGAAACTATTGTTCTTAATTTGACTACTCAGAGCAAGATTAAGAGGATCATAAAGCCTTTGGTACAGTTTTGTTTTTCGCTAGGCAGGTGAGAAAGTATTGATATTTACACTCTTCCCAAAATAGGCAGGAACAGATTTCCTTCAAGTTGTCTTCTAACTAGAAGTGCTGTGATCACAGACTTATAAAATTAAGGACATGTTGTAATTAATTTTAAAAAAGTTCTTTAGCATAAAAGGAAAACCCAAGAGGAGATGCTAATTTATTACAATTCATCAACTAGAAATGATCAATTTTGTACTGAAGAACCCCGCAGGACCTTAAACCCAGCATATGCTCAAAATTATAAGCACAAAGTTTCCCTCTCAAAATCTTTTCTTATGAATTTACTCATACTGACTAGTGTCATCATCCATCAAGTTGCATGATTCAGAAACCTTGAAGGGCATTCACGTTACCTGAGGCTCTCTGCTCTCCATACTCAAATGGTCTTCAAGTCCCACTGACCCAACATCTGAAACCCATTCTCTCCTTTCTGGCACTCTTACCCATGGCTCCTTGAGCTGCACATCATCTCTCACCTTAACATCAACAGCCTTCTGTCTAGTTTCCCTGCTTTGACAACTAATTCATTGTCTATACTGCGGCCACAGTGACTTTCAAAAGAATGAATCTCATTGTTTCTCTTTAATGAACATCCTTTCTTTGGCCCCTCTGTGGCCTTTAGAACATAATCCAGCTCCTAGGCTTACTTCAAAGGCTCCTCCTGGTGCTCCAGTTTGATCTCACTTGTTGACTCACTTCATTTTATATGTGACCAGTCCCCTCTTCTTTGTGAAAGGACATATTTCTATTTCACTGCCATTCCATATACACTTAGAGTTCTCCTTTTTTGGTTTTACAGGTGTTACTGCGGAAATGCAAAACTTGGTCCACCGGCGGATTTATCCATTCTTACTGATGGTCGTGGTATTGATGGGGATCTTGTCATTCCAGGTCCGCCAGTTTAAGCGCCTTTATGAACATATTAAAAATGACAAGTAAGTCTAGACTTCCAGACATTTAGCCACTCATATTAAGATTTATCACTTGTTAATGTTTGTGCCTAATGTGATGAATCAAAAAGGGAAAATTGCTCAGATTCTGGATATATTTTGAGGTAGAATTAATAGAATTTGGTAACAGATTGGATGAGGGTGTGAAATAGCATTATCAAAAACTGTTGTACTGAGCAACTGGCAATTTGGAGTTGTCATTTATGTAGATCAGTGATTTTTCAACTGGTGTACTGCAGGAATTTTTAAAACATATAATTCTATTTATTCAGGGGCACTGACCTCTTTTTTCTTAGATTGTCAAATAAAAAAATGACAACAACCAACACAATAATAACTGTTTGGTGTGAATGAATAAAAATTTAACCTATTATTCTGTCAAATCGGCAAAAGTTATATATTTTTTTGGTGTGCCACAGAATTTTAGTAATTTATGTGTGCTATGAGATGAAAAAGGTTGAAAATTGCTGATGTACATGAAGAATAAAAAGACTGGGAGAAAATGGTTTGAGGAAGATTATTTTTTTAATACTCATTTCACAGAGTTTTCAGTTGCTTTGATTTGACAAGATACAAAAGAGTTTGAGAGAAGAAGAAATCTACGTTAAGAACTTGCAGTACCCGCCTAAGCCTTTCTTGCAATCAAGGGCCATTAGGTTACTCTGACCACTGCTGAGAGAGGCTGCAAGGTTACTGCAAATGTGTCGAGCCCTCTGTTTCGAGAAAACTCTGTGACCTTACCTCACTGAGAGATTGATAACAGCCAAGGTTAGCAAGCCATTTGACCTTCCATGTCCTCACGGAGGGCTGAGTCTTGCTCTGCTTCAGTGTTGTCTAGCAAAAAACATGAGTTTATAGCTTTCCGTCCTGGTTTGCCTGGGAGAGTCCCAGTTTACACATGCTGCTTTCGTGTCATCGTTAATAGAACCCTTGGTTTGGACAGCAAATTATATGCTCACCTTATTTATTACTCTGAGGACTCCTAAGAGTATTATTTTAAAAATTTAGAGTGTTCAAGGCTTCTCCAAAGCCTTTATGACAGTAGAAAACACAAGTGCATTTTTAGGTGGTCAGAGTACAACGTCTTTCAAACATGAAGGAAAGGGGAGGAGGTTTCAGTGATGAGAGTCTGCTTTCTCACTTCACTTGTTTTGGCAAGGTCTTACTGGCACTCCTTGATCTGCCATCAATGCTTCCAAATGGCATGGTACTTGTACCCCACCCCTCTAGCTTGTTTACTTCCAGTTTTGTCACTCACTGGCTTCCAGGGGTCAAGCTCACAGTCATTCCCTCATGTTTAGTGAGGCACATCACTGCTGCTTTTTAGCAACCCCTGCTGATGTTATGGCATGCAGTGTTCTGGTGGAGGACCTCCAGCCTTGTCATTTTAATCACAGTTACTTCTGTCTCTGCCGTCCTGCGCTCTTGGCCATAACCTCCCTGTCAACATGTCATATGAGTTATGAGTTAGCAGAACTTCATATTCTGCCCTTGGACCATACCCCCCTACCTTCTGTCACTCACATACACTCACTTTTCTATCATCTCCCATTTGATATCATTGAAATCATTGTCCTTTGATATCTCCTGTTCTCCAGAACTAGAGCTGTTCAGGTTCTACTAAAAAGGTTAGGGTAAGTCCTCCCTACCCAGCTTTCTGACTATTGTATTTCCAGTCCGTTTCTTCAGATCTGCCCACTAAGCTGCTTCATAAAATACGATCCATACAGATAAACCCTCTGCATGAGTTTCCTCAGCCTTACCCTCCTCGGGCCTCTGAGTGTATGAGTTCACGAGAAGCCCTAACCTACGGACTGGGGCACGTGCCCCGTTGTCCACACTAAGGACTCTGACCTGTGCCGCTCAGGTCTTTGCTCTAGGAAGACCTATGGGGAGTTCTTCCGCCCCTCGCTATAAAGTGCCTGCCTTTGTGCCTTTGGCAGGTGTTCATTCTAGACTTCCCTTCTACCTACCTAACCATGAAAGTAGGAGTGAAGTGATCTGATTTTGCATTTTTAGAAATGAATCACTGACTGCTTTTTGGAAGTGTGTTTCAATATGTGAGATCATATAAGAGAGTAACTACCCTGTTTTTACATCCTAGGTACCTTGTGGGCCAACGCCTTGTGAACTATGAACGGAAATCTGGCAAACAAGGCACATCTTCGCCACCTCCACAGTCGTCCCAAGAATAAAGTGGTTGTCTCAACTACCTTGACCTTCCCCTTGCCTTTACGTGTCCTTTTCTGTGGACTTCTCTCTTTGGAGATTTTCTCCAGTGATCTCTCAGCATTTTTTTTTAAGTTAAATGTATTTGACTTGTGTTCTCAGCATTTGGAGAGAGCAGCAGGTTAAGTTGCTGCCTTCCTGCATCTTCTGACATCACTGCTGTCTGAGATCTGTACATGTGTAAATAGAAGTTCCTGGATACCCTAAAACCTTGGATTAAACAGAATGTGCATTGTACATCTTTAAACAAATGTATATTAATTTATTAAATCTAGTTGTCACTTTATTTTGGACCTGCTGTGATCTTGACAGGAAACGTGCCACAGAGCCACAGTGCAGAAGTGAGACTTACTAATGACGTCTCTGGAGCACAATGTCATGGTGTTCCTAGCAGTTTTTATGAAGTGAACTGTACATTCTGTCTGTCATGGCTGTTGAAACCTTACCAAGAACGTAAAAGGAAACAGAAATCAGCAGTGGAGTTTCTGTGGTAAGAAAATATGAACTTTGTGCTTCACTGTCAATCGTTTTTGGAAGTTATTTTGTATAACACCAAAGCTGTTGTACATTTTCTACTGCCTGATTTTTTTTTCATGTGTCTGTGTTTGTAATATTGTATAGTATCTTGTGCTAGTTGAGGAAATTATTTTTAATTTTGATAATTTAATATTCCTAGTGATTAGCATTGGGAGTTGGGTTTTTGTGCTTGTTAGGGGCATGCCTATACTTAGAGGGGGGAAAAGTCCAAAAGAAGATTTTCATTAGTCTCCTCATCCTCCTTTTCCCACAGAGCTATCTCTTTTTCTGTTTTGGCAGCAGTAGCCAAAAGTCATGCAAGATCATAAGTCTTACAGTATATCGTCACCAATGACACTGCATCTTACTGGAGTGGGGACAGACTGAGGTGTTCCTTAAATGTAGACATGGTTTGTGGTCTGAGATTGACAGCATTAGGAAAGACCGGTTAGAACATAGTCCTGCTGGTTAGTACATCATTGGGTGAGGATTAGGGAGTACATTTCTCCTTGTTTTTCATGAATAAAAATCCCAAGGTTTCTAAAATTTTTTATTTACAGAATAAAACTACAAACAAAATCAAATTGATTTTATTTGTCCAGAAGGAACCTGGCTGAGTTGGCAGTTTAATGGAGTGTAGAATGTATCTCATTGGAAATGTGCTGTAAAATCTCAGAGAACTGAACACATAAACTTGGTTTTTTCCCTTATAGCCAAAGCTGCAAGTAGAAGTTTAGAGAAACAAAAGTTAGGCACATGATCAAAGTATTTAATGGTCATGGTTTAATGTAAGGGTAGTGTTTGTTTTTCAATGATAACCTAAAAGTTCTCAGAGAAAATGAACAGCATAGGTCTTCAGAAACCATACAAGAATTTCCATATAGTATTAAAGCTCATAACTCATATCTGAAGATTTTTTAAATATGAAAGTCAGCCAAACATAAGCTACCAAAATAAAAAGCAAATGTTCTGGTTTTATAATTCAACAATTTTTCCCAAAGTGGTAAGCAACTACTTAACTCTACATTTTAAAACATCAGTATATATATTTAAAAAAGCTTGCCTTAGGATTCAGTGTTATACTTTTTAGCACTTTGCAGTAGGCCTTTCTCTTGTATTTAAAATAAGGTCTTTGTGAGCCCTGCCTTCACTTAGAAATTTAGTTCTACTTTAAAAATGAGCATTTTAAATCATATTGCCACCTGTCATGGTATATGTCCATACAAATAGAGAAACTATCAAATTTGGCATATAACTTGATTATATTAATTTAGGTTTCTTTTGAAATTTTCAGAGACTTTGTAGATATTGACATAAAGTCATTGGAACATATTTACCTGTTTTACCAGGAAGATATAGGCGGATACCACAAAAGATTAAAAATCGTTATTCTACAACATTTTTAAATGAATCTTATCAGATACTTTATAAAATATATATATATATGAATGGCCAAAAAGTTGCCCTCCATTTCACTTGCAATAACTTTATCTTGTCTTATGTAATGATTTCCCCCAATTTTCCAGTTGTGCTTTGTCCTGTTTTCAAAAAGATGAATACTTTCCTAAGGAAAGCATCTGCTGATTACTATTTACATGGGTAGCATCAAGATTTTATTAGCCAGTCGTCTTAGAAATATTTAAAATAACTAGTTCAGAAAGTGCTAGTATTGCTGCCCTTCTTCATGTAGAATTTATTTTTAATAATAGTGTAGTTTTACTTCATTTTACATTGGGTTTAAATAGTCTTTAAGGAAGTTAATTAGGAGAGAAAACTTTTTTGCTTTACTTTTACTATTTATAAATTGAAGACAAATCAACATTTAGGGTTAGTTTTACATGACCGGTTACCAAATGGCCATTAGTATCAGGTGTGCAGTTGTTCATTATTAGCAAATTATGTTTGATTTTTAAACTTAATACTAAGTACTAAAAGTTGAGATGCAAACAGAAAAAAAAAAGCCAATGTGAAGTTTGTGTATGGCAAGCTTTAAAACTAAATGTTTTTAGGTGATCTTTTCCTGTTAGTTTTTTGGAGAAACAGTAGAGATTAGACATCTCAATTCCAGATGTAAACAAAAGTAGTTTTTATTTCAACATTTAATATAACTGTTATTACTGTGGATTCTTGACTTGGTGTTTTTTTTCCTTTCCCTTATTCAAGTAATAGAAAGTAAGTTTTTCTCAAATGATTTGATCTTAGATATGTAATATCTGTATTGGCAAAATGCTATCATTAAAGTCTAATTCTTGAATTTAGGATGAATTGATGACTTTTTAAAACAATGCAAAGCAGCACTGGACATTTCTACATTGTATTGTGTTTACACACACACACACACACACACACACACACACACACACACACACACTGGATATTTCTACATTGTATTGCGTTTACACACTCAGAAACACACACACACTCTATAGAACACTGGCACAAACATCACAAGTTAGCTTCTTATTCTCATGTTCAGGATTATTTTAAGCTTTCTATTTACTGTGATAAGTTTTTTACATTATAAAATTAAATGATTGTGTTTAAAATACTTCTTTAGAATGGTATCTAATGAGTCACAATTAAAAAAAGACAAAAATGAAATGCCTTACCACTAAAGTATTATTAAAAAGCCTCATTTGTGGAGATTTTCTGACTTGCTGGAGCTGTCTTGGATCTTTTTACTTAATTTGCTCCCTCAAGCAGATGTTTTCCCTTCACCCCATTTACTGCCCTATATCTTTTTTTTTAACAGCCAGGATGAGCAAGGGCTACTTTCAGATAAAACCATTAATACAGCATGAAGATAGACAGTATATATCTTTTCATTTCTTTCTGTCTTATGAGTGCCTCATTTTTAGTCATGGAAGTAATATAGTACCTTCAATGAATACGTAGTGACCATAAAGCCTGGGCATGAGTACTATAGAAGCTAAGTAGAATACTGTTATTTGGGATACCAATTTTCTATTAAAGCAAACATCTTAGATACCCAGACCAATTTTATGTATATATTCTGAAATGTTCCCCTTTTTTATGTGGTCATTTGTTGTCTTCTGAGTTGAGAGAACAAGATTGAATAAAGTGAACGTTAGTTGTAGTCGAGTTTTTTTTTTTTCCTTGTTGGTTTTTGCTTTATTGCAAGATTGCTTGAGAGTTACAGAAATGTGTATTATTAGCATAAGTTGATAATCCAGATACATTTAACATAATTATGAAAGTAAAATAATTCAAGTTACATGTGATGATAGCCCCTCTGTTCTAAGCATAAATTTAAAATGATAGTGGCAGAGGACACATCCCTCCTCTCCTCTCTCCCTCACTGTAATAGACTATCTTCATTGGGAAGAGTAGAGGAAGGCCCTCATCTGTGCCACCCACCTCTTTGCCTCAACTATAAGGTCTGAACATCAGAGCTTCACCAGGTTGCCTATTTTAGGTAGCTACTTGGATAGAGTAAAGCCAATCAAACCCATTTTATGTAATTGACTGTAAGTCTCAGAGAAAAAGGAAAGGATTCCATGAGTTTTTTTTTCCTCCTAACTGTGCTGTATGAAGAGATCTTTTTGTTTCTAATTTTTCTTTGTTTCTAGGTTGGGTTTTGTTCCATGATTTTTTTTCCTTTTTATTAAATTTATTGGGAGTGACACTGGCTAACAAAATTATACAGGTTTCAGGTGCACAATTCTATATAGCACATAATCTGTACACTATTGTGTGTTCACCCCAAGTTAAGTCTCCGTCTACCACCATTTACCCCCCTATGATTTTTTTAATCAAGTGCATTTTTATTTTAAATGTAGTGGTGTGGGTGAAGTGCAGTTTGAACCATAGAGCATCTTTAATCTGTGAAGTTGAATTTTTACAGCAAAGGCAATTGCATGGTGAATCTCAGAAGTGGCTATTAAACAGCCCCCCCCCCCCCCCCCCCCCATCCTGCAGTTTGCAGCCCTTCTTGTTGCAAACATAGAACCAATACCACAAGTAGATTAAGGATCTGGGAAGGTAACCTCCCCTTCTAGCCCCAGCCCCCACATACGCATGTATTTCTGGTGTCTGTTTTGTTTCCTTGCACTGTACTCAGTATTATAGTTGAATGAGGCATGGGGTCTGCCTTCAAGAAGTCCAGTTAGAGTGGGAAAGAACAGAAAAATGAGCAAAACATTCTATTAGAGATATGCATAAGATTGTCACAAGGAACAGATACAGGATCTCCCTGGGCAGAGTCTGTGATGACCTAGGTATGTCCTTAGTTACTATTTGGTCTATATAGGCACCCTTCCCCCACACCCTCACAATTCCTGTCAACCTCCTGCAGTTTACTTCCACTCAGTCCCACACTTCACTAAAACCATCCATATGTCAAGAGCCAGTAAACTGGCGGAGGTCCCTTTTGGCAATCCTTACATTATCTAATCATCTTCCTGAAATTTTATTTTGCACAGGTAACAGTGTTGTGTCTTTCTGCTGCTTGCTTGCTTAGTAGCTTCTGTAGGACAAAAAGGCTTATGCCAAGAAGCCCATTCATTTGTTTTTTTGCCCAAATGGATGAACCCCTTCTGCTGGCTGCACGAATCCATTGGTCTGATGGAGCAGAATAGTCAGTCAGTCTAGAAATAAACCCACATGTATATGGACAGCTGATTTTTGTCAAAGGTACAAAAGTTGAACAAATAGTGCTGGAATAATTGGACATCCAGATGAAAAATTAAAAATTGATCTATATCTCAACATACGTAAAAGTTAACTCAAAATAAATTATAGCCCTAAGTATAAAACTCCATTCTATAACTTCTAGAAGAAAGCAAAGGAAAAATGTTTAGCCTGCGGTTAATCACAGATTTGGATACAACCCCAAAAGCACAACCAATAGAAGAAAAATTTGATGACTTGGACTTGATCAAAATGGAAAACACCTGCCCTTTGAAGTATACTGTTTAGAGAACGAAAAGACAAGCCATGGAGTGGCAGAAAAAGTTTGCCAAACGTTTCTGATAAAGTACATGCATTCAGCCCTAGCTGGTTTGGCTCAGTGGACAGAGTGTCGGCCTGTGTACTGAATGGTCCCAGGTTCGATTCTGGTCAAGGGCACATGCCTGGGTTTCAGGCTCGATCCCCAGTTGGGGGCATGCAGGAGGCAGCTGATGAATGATTCTCATCATTGATGTTTCTCTCTCCCTCTCCTTGTCTGAAACCAATGAAAATATATTTAAAAAAAGGTTTAAATAAAATACATGCATTCACATAAGTCTCAAAATACTGTAGTAAGAAAACCTACTTGTTGATTTAAAAATGGGCAAATATTTAAAAAGACTAAAGGTGGTATACAGACGGCAAATAAACACATGCAAACCTGTTCAACATCATTAGTCATTTGGAAAATGCACAGTAAAACCACAATGTGATCCCACCACATATCTATTAGAAAGGCTAAAATTAAAAATACTGATGGTATCATGGGTTGGTGAGGATGTAGAGAAACTGGGACTCCCATACTCTGCTGGAGGGAAAGTAAAATGGTGCAACTACTGGGGAAAAGAGTTGGGCATTTCTTAATAGATTAAAATATGTACTCATCACTCCTAATTATTTGCCGAGAAAAAAATGTGTAAATCCATATGAAGAATTGCACATGAGTGTTTATAGTACTTTTATTTGTAATAGCCCGAAGCTGGAAACAATCCATATGCCCATCAGCAAGTGAATGGGTAAATTATCAATACAATGAAAAGCAATTAACTATTGATATACACAACATGTACAAATCTCAAAATATGCTAAGTGAAAGTAGACCAAAAATGTATGCTTTTGTTTATATAAAAGTCCAGAAAATCCAAAGAAACCTATCTATAGGAAGGCAGATCAGTGGGTGGCGAGGAGGGACTTGGATTTTAAAGGGGGCATGAAGAAACCAGGGTGATGAATGTGTTCACTGTCTTGAAGGGGTTCTGGTCTGACATGTCTACATGTGTCAAAATGTATCAAATTGCACACTTCAAATCTGTGCAATTTATTTCAAAAAGTAGTACTATGTTAATATTGGCTCTCTAGTGGACCATTTCATACCTTTTTTCCTTTAAATGGAAAAAAGGTATTTTCTCATTTTTGGCTGCTGACTTGTATTCTTATTTCACTGAAAAGATAGAATCAACCAGAACAGAACTTTTCACAAGTCCACACCCTCCCTGACCCATCACACCCTGTGTTTACTGCCCCAGCCTTTTTTTCTAGAACAGGCCTAACCCCAGGGCCTTTGCACTTCTGTTTGCCGTACTTTACTGTTCTTTGTCCAGGCGCTCCCTATCCTCATTTCTTTAGTGAGGCTTATCTAAAATTGCAGCTACTGGGGCATTCCTGTCTCTTTTGTATTTTTTCTCTTTCATATTTATTAACCTATCAAGTTTACCTATCGTTGATGTTTTCCCTTACGTGGATGTAAGCTCCAGAGATTTTGAAAAATAACTATTAGGGGATTACTACTGTGTTCCACAACAGTCCTTGGGACATAGTTAGCATTCAGTATTGTTGAGGAAGTAAATAAGTCAGAATCAAAATAATGTATATATGGTTAAAATGAAACCTGAAAGCCCTGTGCCCTTCTCCAGAGGTAACCACGTCAGCGTAGGCCAGACGCCTCCATCACAGTGCAGGTGACATGCGCCCCAGCCTGCTCTACAGGGTGCTGCTTCCTTTCACTTTGTTTCACAAACACCTTTCTATGTCAGCCACCCCGTTTAAAAATTCTGGCTGTATTGTGTTCTATCCTGTGGGTAAGACTACGATTTAACTTTTCTGAACTAGTTACCCCATTTTATTATATGCTGTAGTAAACATTTTTGTCCATATTACCTTACATACTTAGGCTAGAATATCTGTAGGATAAATTTCTCTAAGATTGCTAAGTCATCAACATTTTAAAGTGCCAAATTGCCCCCAAAACATACTAATTAACACTCCTCTTTCATCAGTGTATGCGATTTCTTGATTTCCCAGGTCGTCATCAGCATTCGTGACTATTTTCAGTTTTTGCTAATGCTGTTCATTTGAAAACGTGTGTGTAGAGGAGTCAAGGTTGGGGCTTTACATCTTCAGGGCGGGAAGGAGGACCTGCCCCTGACCCCACCTGGACATAGCTCATTCTAGTTCTCCATAGTCCTCTCTAGAGGTGAGCCTTCCTGTGTGGAGGGGGGTCTCAGGGCTCTTTCATTCAGCATGGGTGCTAGGGGCCGCTGCAGCCACCAGCCAGGATACCCCTAAACCAGGGCTCACCCCTCGAATGCTGCCCTGGCCAGCACCCACCAGAATGGACGTTTCCTTTACTCGTCCACCCAAAGCTACTGTGTCAGAAGTGGCTTATTTTCTCTTTCACTCAGATTGGCTCAACTACCCTAACTTAAGAAACCAGTTAAACTGAAACTTCCCCCGTCTAAACTCTAAGTAGCTTTTAAACTGGGATCTGAAGAATGAGTTCACTAAGGGGAACCGCTTGGATGCACGAGGAAATTGATGGAGACGGGGGCACGTGTGCCAGCACCGACGGATCAGCCTTCGCGACTTGAACCGTTTCCAACGTGGGAGGACCCCAGTCACCCCTGCCCTAAGCTTCACGTGGCCAGAGCAAGGAGAAGGGGTGGCGGCCTTTGTGAATTCTCCTTTCACAGTCGGCAGTGGGAAAGCGATCAAAAGCCCCTTTTCTAAGTGAAACGGTCAGCTCTCTCTAAACTAGGTTAGTGGGAAAGGTTAGGAGACCAGGGAGCCAAAGTCAGACTGCGCACGCGCATTGCCCTTGGGACAACCCACCCTCGGCTCGAGGCGTGTGCGCGTGCGCGGCGCTAGGGGGCGGGGTCCGTCCCCGCGCGCGTGCCGGTTGCCTGGATACCGTTGCGAAACAATAGCACCGGTTAGCGCTTCTGAGCAGCTGTGCTTGGGCCGCTAGAGGGGACGGTTGGTCCTCAATTTCCGAGGAGGCCGAAGACGAGCGGGTAAGAGCTCCCGCAGGCAGCCCGAACCCCCGGGAAAACCAGCTCTTGGCCGGATCCCAAACCCAGGACCCGGCCCAGACCCGGCTGCTGGACCTCGGTCCCGCCCGCCGGCCCTGTCCCAAACCTGGGGGAGGGCGGGCGGCCCCAGGCTGACTCTCCGCCCTTACTTCCCCGCAGCACACCCGGATCGTCCCAGCCAGGTCCTGGTCTTGGGAGAGCGATGCCGCTTCCCGACACCTTATTCTGCGCGCAGCAGATCCACATCCCACCGGAACTGCCGGATATCCTGAAGCAGTTCACCAAGGCAGCGATCCGCACCCAGCCCGCCGACGTGCTGCAGTGGGCCGCGGGGTAAGCGCCCGGGCGTGCTGGTGAATCCTCGGTCCTGGAGCGGTGGTCCAACGCCCAGGACACTCAGAGTGTCAGCAAGACTTCACTTTAGCATCAGTGGTATCTACACCTAAGTATCCATCGAGGAAGCACCGTGGTTTATTGACCATGGGACCAGAAGTTACTGCAAAACACTCACTTGTTACAGAATAGCAACAATTCCATTGTTGGAGAGTGGTATTTTTTTTAATTTTTATTTTTTATTAAGGTATTACATATGTGCCCTTATCCCAATATAATGGAGAGTGGTATTTAAGCAGATAGACCAAAACTTAGAAAGCAAGTGCTTTGGGTATAAAGTTTCTGCATTGCATTATAAAACTATAACCACAGTCCCTTTATTTTATTTGCAAGGTGGTTTTTACAAGGAGAAATCGTATGGCTGTGTTGTTCCTCCTCAGGGAATCCCCCCAGGGTTAGGGACTGGCTGACCCAGAACCGCGGAAGTCATGTTGGGGTACTCAGCCCAAGGCTGGGAAGGCTAAACTCTGCCCAGCGTGGTTCACAGCAAATGAGCCTTCACAGTTGCTTGTGGCAAACGTCCTATTTCCAGGAACAGACATTCCTAATTTTAAAGTTACAAGTCAACAGACCTTAGAACCATTAAAAGAAACCCTTTTGATTTTACAGGAAAGCTCTTTGCCCTTTTCCAGTAAACAGGCATAGAAGCTTAATTTTATGACCACAAGAATCAGTATAAATGTTTCTAAAATGTTTTAGCAAATGGCGTATCGAATTTTGCTGCCCTCTAAACTATATAACCAGTGAATTAGTTTCCTATGAACTGCTGTACAAAATCCCATAAAATTTGATGGATTTATACAACATTTATTCTCTTACAGTTCTGGTGGCCAAAAGTCCAACATCAGTGTCGCCAGGCTGAAGTCAAGATGTTGGCCAGGCTTTACTCTGTCTGGAGGTGCAAGGGGGAATCGATCTGTTCGCTTGGTTTTTCCAGCTTCTAGAGCTGCATTCCTTATATTCGTTGGCTCATGGCCCCTTCCTCCATCTTTAAAGCCAGAAGTATGACAGCTTCAGGTCTCCCTCTACCTCCCTAGTCTGAGGACACTTGTGATTGCATTTAGGACCCATCTAGATAATACAGAATAATTTCCCCATCTCATCATAGGCAAAGTCCCTATTACCATGCAAAATACGACACACAGTTCCAGGACGAGGGCCTAGATATCTTACCGAACCTCTCATATGAGGCTACTGACTACTTGCTAATTGGCACTTTGCCTCTGACACTTTGGTCAGTTGCTTCCGAAGTTACCTTTCAAGGTTCTTAAAAATAAATTACGGCCTCTGGTTTTAACCATTATTCAAGCCTAAATAAAAGATAGTAAAATAAAAGATAGTCAGGACTTGTAAGATTTATTTGTGACTTAATCATTTTTATTTGGACCATTAAATTATATTTGTAACACTTTAGAGGCAACTATTTTAGGCTTCACTTTAATTTAAAAGGCTAAGTTGAAAACTTTCTGAATCTTCTATGCAACTCATTTCAAGAACAATTTCGGAGTTTAGGAGAAAAATCAAGCATTATTCATTAAGCAGTGTGTGTGTGATGGACTCGGATGTGTTCTGGCTGTCCCAGAATACACTCTGTTAGGACGTTGTTCAGAAGAAGGTGACTTGGCCTTGGAGAGATTTCGTAGGCAGAGATTGGGGTTAGGACAAGGTGGAGGGTATTCAGGAGGAGGACACAGCATATGAATAAAGGGGCTGTGCCGGGAGGAAGAAAATGCAAAAACAGAGCAGAAAACCAGGGTGCATATGGAAGTAACTCTGCTGTGGCAGACGCAAGTTGACTTTCAGGTTAGCATTCTTTTCAAACGAGGCGTTCCAGTGGCAAAGGTGGGACAGCCTTGCCCCCCAGCCTGTGTACTCTGCTGTGATGTCACAGCTAATCAGCTGTGCCTTATGATGTCACCGAGCAATTGTGCATCACTCAGTATGATGGAGGACAGAATGGGTTTAGTACTAGAAGGCTGCTTTTGCTCACAGGTGCCTCCAGGGAACTAGCAGAGTCTAACACAAGCTGGTCTTGCCACTTATGTGGGCTTCCCCAGCCTCGGCTCATTTGACACTTTGGAGGGGACAACTTTTGGGTGGTGTATGAGGAGGATGAGGTGTAGGATCCTTAGCCGAATCCTGTTCTGCACCCACTAGATGGCAGGAACACCATCTCCCTCCTGTGGTGACAACCAGAATTTCTCTGGAAATTGCCAGTGCCTTCTTGGGATGGGGAAGGACCCACATTGCCCCTGTTGAGAACCACTGTTCTACAGGCCCTATCAGGCTTGGGGATGGTTTGATAGGTTATGAAGAATAAAGTCCATGAAGTGGAAACTGCAATTAGGAACAATATGGCAAATCTAAGCACCCACCCTCAGCCTGGCACTTGGCTCTTAAGGTCCACATTGGTCTAACTGCTGCCTTAATCTTGACTCTCCCTCTAACCTTTAAACAAGATGTGTCTGGAGATGTCTTAAAAGCATGAAAGCAAAGTTGAATTTGAGGGCTGAAGAAACGGGATGAGTTATAAAATTTGTTTTAGTCCATCAGATATCTTGCTACATGCTGTTACTTATTCAGAGTTGTTTCCAGTGACTCATATCTTTTAACTTAAAACCCGTGGCCCTGGTGGATGGCCGAGAGCTCTTTCCCTGGATGTGTTGTTTCTTTTCGTGGTGTTAGTCGTTAGAGCTGCATGTGACAGGGCTCAGCAGCTGCCCCGAGGGGAGTGGGTTTTGCAGAAGAAACTGCCTGGTACCCCTCCCACCGCCAGAGGCTGGGTGTGTGCCCCTCTTGACTTGTTGCCCCAAAACATTTCTGTGCCCCTATCTTCCCCCAACAGAAGCAGCAATATCGGGAGCCCAGAAAGGAACAATTAAGGGGAAAAATACTAAAAAATACAACAAAAAAACAAACAAAACCAGGCAGGAACAGTGAAGTGTGAGGGAGGGTGGTCTCTGACATGGCAGAGTGGCACAGCCCATCCTCCGTGGAGCCAACAGAACATCGCTGATCTGGGTGCCTGAGAGGTGAATAGGCAGAGAGGGATGCTCTCAACCCCCAGAAAAACAGCAGGCCCCAGAAAAGGGAAGACCACACCTCAGCTGTTACAGTGGAACACTGGACCGTGACCTTGCCCTTGGGTGCCGTGGCCTGCATCTTCCAGTGCCTCTGGCCACATTTCAGGGCCCCCCATGGTGTTTGCTGGATAAGAACAGCACGTGTGGTGTCCGCTCAGTACTCCCTGGAGCCCTGAGACAGACCGTCCTTGTCCCCGCTTCACGGACAGAGACACGGAGGCGGCAGAGAGGGCAAGGAGGAGAGCGCGTGGAGGAACCGGGACAGACTGCCCTTCGGACTCGAGAGCTCTCCTCTTTGATCACTGCTGGGCTTTGGGCTCCTTTAAGAAAGCGCAGTCATTAGTATTAATTTGCCTTTTGTGTATTGATGAGTCTTCAGAGATATCTGTTGTTGTTGTTAGGTATTTCTCAGCATTGTCAAGAGGAGATCCACTTCCTGTAAAGGACAGAATTGAAATGCCCGTGGCCACTCAGAAAACAGATACTGGCCTGACTCAAGGAATGCTCAAAGTGCTGCACAAGCAGGTATAAGGGCTATGCCACCAGTCGGCTTAACCCGCGAGAAAGCCAGTGCCCCTGAGGCCTGACACAAACCACCACCATCATCTCGCATGTCGCTTCCCCTGCAATAAACCTTTGAATTTCATTCAAAAAGGAATTTGTTGTATTCAGTGCCTTTCTTTAATTGAAAGAACCCACAATAGCTATTCATGATTAGATTGTAGAAAAGTGAAATATAATTTCTTTTAAATATCAAATTAAGATGCTTAGGTGTTGGACTAAAAAAAGGCTGAAGATATAAAAGCATGACATTTTAGACAGGGGGATGGCAAAGCCCTTTTGAAGGGTGTTGATGAAGCTGTGTGCATGCCGAAGTGGTCATCTGAAGGACGGTTGCCCTGGGAGGCTGGTTTCCAACCCGCCAGACAGCCTGGGCCTGGTCCTGCCAGACAGCCCTCGGTGAGTCTTCTCCACCCACTGGCTCGCTTTTAGAAAAACGAGTTAGTAGGAAGCACATCACCCAGCCTTGAGGCTCGGCATTCAGATGAGTGGGTCATATTACTAAAAATGATTTTGATTTTTAAAGTGACAGGTCCCCATTATACATGAAGAAAAAACCCCAATTTTTTACTTTTCAATTACAGTTGACATACACTATAATGTTAGTTTCAGGTATACAACATAGAGCCCTTTATACATTTTGAAGTACTGGGCTTCTGGACCGGATGCACTGACTTTGAAACCAGATTTTCCATGGCTCTCTATTAAAAGGGGACACGAATAACCATGGAAAGAGGGTAGCTTGGGGAAGGACATGCTAGTGTTGCTGAAAGCCCTTCACACAGATTAGTACTAGCAGGTCGCAGAAGTTACCCATTTTCACTGCTTGTTTTGAAATAGAAGGAAGAAATATAGTTTAAAGATTACTCCCATGTAATTATTCGCATGTTTATGGGGTGGGATTTTAAAAGTTTTGATTGCCAAGGATTACAGTCAGATAACAGAGGACGCCATCCCCAGCACCGGCAGGCCCTGCTTATTAAGTTACAGCACTATGCCACATTTGCTTCACGGCCCTTATTTAAGAAGTAAACTGCTGTGAACATTGTTGCCAAGCTTAGTGTCCCCACTCCCTGCACGTTGCCCCTCCCACTGCACACGTCCCCCTCCCTCCGCAGGGCTAACAGGGCCATGAAGTCAGGCCACCTGTCCCTGCATGGAGTACGCGGTGTATGTGCAAATGCTCACAGCATTAGAGGATTCTGTGGGGTTTTAAACTTATGTCAATTGTATTATATTGTGTTTTCTAAACAGTGTAGCCACAAGCAATACGTGGAATTAGCCGACCTTGAACAGAAATGGAGAAGTTTGTGCCTGCCAATGGAAAAATTCAGAGCTCTCTTACAATTGGATCCTTGTGAATACAGAATCGAGTGGATAAAATTTTTAGCACTTGGATGTAGCATGCTTGGTGGGGTACGTACCTAGAAATGGCATGTTGATAATTACGTGTAATCATAGGCCTGGCTGGAAAATAACTTAGGGGTTTCTGTCACTGAAGGGAACACATTATTTTAGTAACTTTGTCTCAGAAAAGCAATATTTTTTCAGATACCTATTGTATTTTCAGGCTTATAGTTATTCTAATGTACAGAAATTAAATACTTGTGAATACCTCAAATTAAAAGATGTTAACAGTAGATAAAACATATGGATACCGTTAAAAATGTATGTAGGTTTTATTAAACCACATATCATTTGGTAAATGGATAATACCTGTTTTCCTAATCTGTGGAGAGAGGCACAGAATTATTTTATACTTTAGTTAAAATCTATTGTTAGTAACAGATACAGTACAGCTTTGCTGATGGTAAAATATAACCCAAGCGCTTAGGGGTGAAGACAAGATGACCCTGCCGTTTCAGAGCCCAGGAGAGGGGTGCCATGGGGGCGGAGCCAGCTCCCGTGTTTGAGTCACGCTGAGACGCTGAGACGTGTGGGTCTAGTGAAGGGAGAGCTACCACTTTTAAGCTCTTAGAGGAGGTTGAGAAGGGAGAACTCGCTTTACTTCAGGGATGAGCAAACTCCCCAGTCTTTGGACCCCAGAGGCCCTAACTGGGTAATTCATACCCCTCACTTCAAGGCACCCGCTTGCCGTGGGTCCATGCGTGGGCCTCTTTGATTCGATTTTAATTTTTAACAAGGACTTTCTGTAATACTGCCCCACACGATCACGAACACTGACAAAACTGACCCGCCTGCAGCCAGGCTCTGTCGAAGCTCACACTTCCCTTTTATCACATGCAGACCCTGGGAAATGCCTGATTTCACTGTAGTTGATTTTATCTTTTTGAAGAGATAATTATGTTGTTGATAATCTTCTGGAACCTTTTTTCATTCCCAATTAGATCTCTACATTTATTCATCTGTATCATGACATAACACCTCTGTCGCATAACCCCCGGGTGGGAACACTCTGCAACTTACTGCCTATTAAGGGCCCAGGGAGAACCTGCAAACCCAGGGAGCCCAGGGGTGGGGCTGCTGGCTGCCTGCAACTTTCGTTGTGTGACTGCCCCAACGCTAATGGTGCCAGGGCTGGCCACTGGCTGACCACGTAGGAAAGACAGGCCGGGTGTCTCCAGGGAGGCATCTCAGAGGGGTGCTATAGGGAAGGACGAAGACAAGTTAGTTACTAGGGAAAACTTCATGTGGTGGTGTTCCTGTAGGTCTTAGTGATACAACATTAATAGAGAATATTTGAACCAATGTTTGAATTAATGTTCGTGCCTCTAAACTTAGGTGGAATTTATATCTTAATAATGATGAGAAAGCAGAATGTCTCATATTTTGGGCTCCATCTTTGTCATTTCTATCTCCCTAATTGTGGAGACGAAGCCCCAGATGGAAAAGCACAGGGAATCTGTTTGGCGAGGCGGCCTGGTCCATGTGTAGTGTGTGACGCTGGAGGGCGCCGTCGTCCAGGAGCGCGTCCTGGGGAAGGTGACGCGGGTCCGGCTGTGCCCGCGCCTTCCCTCTCGCCGAGCCCCTTCCGGCTGTGCGATGAGGTTCGCGTGTGAAAGCCTCAGGGTGCGGTGAGGGGTGGGGGTGAGGGGGTGCAGAGCGAGTTCCCACCGCGTCATCGGCAGGGGCTGAGGGCTGAGGCCTGTGAGCTTGGCCTTTGGGACGCCCCTGGACCCCACGTGGGCGGGGAGCTTGGAGCTGCGACTTCCCCAGACGATTCTTGGAGTAGTTTGGCATCTGAGCATTTATCTTTATGCTTAAAAAAGAAGAGGAAGTGAAAACGTGAAGGGGGACGAACGAGGAGTAATTCAGAACGGATTACTGCCTCGTTTCCACGGCGGGTTTGGGCAGAATTGGACAGTCTCTGCTTCCCACGTGGGCGCGTCCCTGGCGGCTGCCGGGCTCCGGCTGACACAGTCTCCGCCCGCGTTTCTCTTAAAAGTCAGAGCGGAAGGTTTCCACAAAGACTAGCCCATCCCTCCCTCCCTCCCTCCTCCCGATGTGTGTGCGGCACCGCCTGGTGCTGGCCCTGCTCTGGGTGCTGAGCGGCAGCGCCCCGCGCCGGGTGCCCCGCGTCCCATCCCGGGAGCCGCCCTGCTCTCATCCCGGAAGCCTGAGCTCTGCCTGTGTTGAAAGCTGCAGGGGAGGTGGGGTGGGGGGTGGGGTCAAGGGCCTCGTGGCTGCCCGGCTGTGGTGGTGGTTCCTGTCCCCTTCCCCAGGGCCGTGTGCTTACCTGGTGACATGATCGCCGGTGCATGTCGCTACCCGTGTCTTTATATTTCCGCAGCGCCCTCAGTGGCCTGTGACGCCATCATGGACTTTCCCAGTCCGTGTGTAGGGAATGGGGGACTTGGTTCACAACTTTCTAATGCTCAGAAAATGACCCCCATGCTTAAAGAAAAACAAAACAAACAATTTGATCCACCACTTTAGTGCTGAGGATCATGGATGGTGTCCCCCGTGCCAGTGGTGGGGACGCGCCTGGCTCCTGTCCCCAGTGCCTCCCATCCAGGTTTCCCCGTTGGCCTCACAGCCTACTCCGGGATGGCCAAGAGGAGCCCTTCCCCCAGCCAGCGACAAGATCCAGCCCAGAGGCTTAGCCACTGCGCCCAGAGGGGCAGCTCTGGGTTCCTGGCTCACCTGCCCCCAGCACCACTTACCTCACTACAGGTCTGCGCGTCTCCCTGGGGTGAAGAGGACAGGTGGGGCACTTTCCACTGCGGCTGTCACCGTCGCACCCAGGCCACACACGTGGTGGCTGCTGGGCATGGTGGCCTCTCTGACCCTTTCCTGGACAATGCCAAGGGCAGCATCAGTCCTCAGTAGGTGGCTTCACTCTGGGACCTGGTCCCAGCTTGGTCCCATCTTCCTGGAGAATGTGGGCCTCCCACCCTCACCTGCCACAAGCCCCAGAACCGCATTTTAAATGAGAAGTGTACCGAGATGGGGGTTAGCACCTCTGGCTGACGTTAAACTGTATGCCTCCTGAGCACAGCCAGGCCTCTCAGGGAGCAAGAGCTGCTCTGTCCTGATTCCGTCAGAAGGGGTGGGTCAAGACTTCCCTCACTTTTACCTCCATGCTCGCCGAAAGGGCCACTTGGGGTGCATGGGAGGTGGTTCGGTGTGTCCTCACCATAGCAGCTAAGATTCTGAAATTGAAAAAGTCCACAGAACTGGCACCTGGAAGACGCTCAGGAAATATAGGTGCCTCCACATCTGTTTCTCTCACACGTCTGCACTTGAATTTCAGATGACGGCTCGGGCTGGAGCACTTGGCTACACACAAAGTGAGGGTGCCAGTCCCCGTCCCCCGGAAGGCTTAGGTACCTGGAGGGAACCACAACGGCAGGCGGTTGGAGGGGGCGCCTGCCAACATGGTGAGCGGGAAGCCTGACTACCTCCCCTCTTATAAGTTGAGAAACCTGTTTGTAAGGAAATGCTCAGTGCAAAACCATGCAAGTTGCTTTATGAATCCTTTCCTGCAGCTCTTACTGTCAGAAATGTTAACAGCAGTATTGTCATCACACCTGTGCAGAAGGCAGCGATGCTGGAGTGTTTCGATGTATTTTTTTTCCTTAAATACCTCCCGTCACAGAGACCTCATCTGCCTGCTCCCCGCTGGGCTCCCGCACTTGGCGGTGGAACCTCCTTCCACTTGTGTCGGGTGTAAAAGAAAAGTCCAGTGTAGCACCATGTCTTCACAGAGTTTCAAGCTAAACACACAGCTTCGGTTTCCCAGGTCCTCTCAGGAGGGCAGGGAAAAGTGACCCTTCCGATGCTGCATCGTGACACCGCCCTACACCAGCGCTTCATCGCCGGCCAGTGTGGGAGCTGGCTTCCCAGAAACCCCGAGCCCCAGCTGCCAGCCCCGGGGAGCCCGCATGCTCAGGCCTCCAGCCCAGAGCCTGGAATCCCGGGCGTGTGGCAGGCGTCTGCTCCTGCCTGAGCCAGCCCGGCTGCAGGCGCGGTGGAATGTGCTGGTCAGCATGCCTGCAGCTGGGCCCAGCTGCTCACCTGGGGCAGGTGACAGCCTCTGGGCCCCGCTGTCCTCATCTCACCCGTGAGGGCGAGGAGGAAAGGAGATGCCCATCAGGCTCTCAGATGGTGCGTTCTGTTCTGCGCAGGGAGCTCACTGCTGTCCCGCGGCCTCCCTCTCCCCCTGCCAGAAGCACTGGTGATTTTTCTCGTATGTTCACTGCGAGGACCGGGTCGAGCTCCTGGAGCCGTGGAGAAAGAAGCTGCCATGGGTGAGAGGGCCAGTGTCCAGGCCCTGCAGGCGGCCGGCCAGAGAGGGAGGCCGTCAGTCTCACAGCAGTAAGGAGATGAGTCTGCCAGCAGCATGGAGCCTGTCACAGAGGAGCAGCTAAGCTCTGCACCTCCTAACACACAGAAACTGCCAGATAATGTGGGTTGTTAAAAAAAACCACACCTTGCCCTGACCAGTTTGGCTCAGTGGATAAAACATCGGCCTGCGGACTGAAGGGTCCCAGGTTCAATTCCGGTCAAGGGCATGTACCTTGGTTGCGGGCACATCCCCAGTGGGGGGTGTGCAGGAGGCAACTGATCGATGTTTCTCTCTCATCGATGTTTCTGGCTCTCTATCCCTCTCCCTTCCTCTCTGTAAAAAATCAATAAAATATATATATATATATATATAAAAAATAACAAACCACACCAAACAAACAAAAAACCCCTGGTTCTGCCCTCTTCATGCCCCGAGGACATCAGAGTGCTATCCCCACAGTGTCACTGTTGAGGTCAAGCAGGCCTGTGGCTCCCCCGGGACTGCCCCCTGTGCCACCTTTTCTCCTGAGGGCAGCCCAGGTTCTTCCCGCAGGAGCTTCCTGAGAGGAAGGCCCTGATTGGCAGTATTTGCCCCTGACTGTGTAACTGCTCCCACCACGGCTGATTTCAGCCTACCAACACGATCAGCTGTCTCACAAATTCCTGGGAGGGTAGCAGCCAGGTCAGGAGCCGCTCCGTACCCCGTTGCACGCAGGCCTTGGGCCCTGCGGCCTCCAAGGTGCTCTTGTGGAGTCACCAGGGGGCCGACAGTTTCTAGCGAGAAACCAGCCCTAGTCTTTGACACAGGCGATGGCTCCCCCACCCTGAATGCATCTCCTCCTGCCCTCATGGCTTGAAGGGGAGAGTGGGATGAGTCACAGCTCTGGCAGCTTAGTGGTGTGGGGGAAGGCTTCCCAGAAGATGGGCATTTGGGCTGAAAGTTGAGGATGTCGGCCAGGATGGGATGAGGGTGACTGACACAGGCAGAGGGAGGGAGCATGAGCGGGAGGAAGGCAGGTGCTTTCCAGAACTGAGACAAGTCCCAGAGCAAGGACAGGCCCTGCACGGAGCCCAGGGGCAGGTGGGCATCAGCAGGACCCTGCCCGCCCCTCCACAGGTGGCACCTCCAGTTGGTAACAGTTTGCTTTGTCCCTAGGTATGTCCAGGGGCCAGAAGGGCTGGAGGGTTCTGCGTTGGCTTAGGGGGTGTGTCTTTTAGGAGACTGATACTTCCTCGTCTTCAAAAGTCTTTCGAATTTTAATATAAAATCTGTAGATTAAAACTTTTTTCCAGACCAGTTGCATCCTGATGAGACCTTTCCTTTTTATTTCTTTATGTCACATATACATTCACCTAGTTCTTAATTTAGATAAGAACATAGTGTACTTTCAGGAGAATTTCTGTAAAATGTAATTGAGTGTCTATTCCAGTTTTAGCAAATGCAGTAATTGTCCCTCCCTCCCTGCACCCCTCCCCCCCCCCCCCCCATCTGTGCCATTCCTAGTCCTTGAACACCGCGATGAAGAACCTGTGTGAGATCCTGACCCAGGACCCGGAGGGGGGGCCTGCGCGCATTCCCTTCAAGACTTTCTCCTACGTCTACCGCTACCTGTCCAGCCTGGACTCGGATATTGCTACTTCGGAAACAGAAGCCTATCTCGCCTCGCTGAAGGATAACATGTGAGTACGAGCAGTCCCTGCCCTGGGCATAGGGATCCTTAGAGATCTTCCTCCCGTCACCGCTTATCTCGGATTCCTGGTCCCCACTTATCCTGCGGTGACGGAGAGGCCACCCGAGCCTCTCCAGGGCCTGCTGAGGAGGCGGTGGCAGGAGGCCGCTGGCTTCCGTGGGACTCGGGGCAGGCGGGGTTCAGTTCTCAGACATCAGAGGAGAAAATGTATTCCATCTCTACAAAAAGTTTATCCACACTTGCCTTGATTCTGAAGGACAGTATGTCAAGTGGTTTAAAATCATAGCATGTTGAACAGTAAGAAAGAATTCACTCTCAACAGTGAGACGCAGAAGCGGGGCTACTGCAGGTGGAGGTGTGACCAGGCTATGGACACAGCTTCATCCCCGGCTCCTTGCACATCTCTCGGGAGATGTGTGCCCCATACTGTGCAGAGGACAAGCAGCCTGGGGGCAGGTGGGGTGGTGGCAGCCCCCCCCCCCAGGGGCTGTGGCCCCACAGAGGGGGCTCCCTGAGGGTGGTGACAATGCCCCTCATGAGCTTAAGCCCAGGAAGCCTGGCAATTCCAGGGGAAGGGGCTCTAGGTGAGGCAGGATGGAGCCCAGCTCCCACAAGGTTCAGGAGAGAGAGAGAGAGAGAGGGAGAGAGAGACAGACAGACAGACTGATCCAAGGCCTTCCAGCACCTCCTGGCCACCCCCCTCCCCCCCCCCCAAGTGCCTGTGAGGGTGTCTCCAAGCCTCACACTGCCATCTGGTGCTTTGCCCCAGCACATGTTCATGAGGTGCCTACTCTGCCAGGGATGCAGTTTATGGACCAGAAGTTGCAGTCCTGGGTGCTCCACACTCACAGATACCCGGACAGCGGGCAGGCTTGAGGGGACGAAAGAGCTAGGGGATGGGGCCTGACTAGGAGGATACATCCCTCCAGCACTGAGAAGCCCTACCCGGCAGCCCCTCATCACTGCCCAGACGCTCCTCCTTCCCACCTTCCCAAACCTTCCACAGCTGGGACCCAACTACCTCACTTCCTGCTGACAGACCCTGGCTGCCCCCACAGCGCTCACTCCTGTCCCCTTCAAGCCGTTCTCTCTGCTCCCTTTTCAAAATCGCAGCCCCTCTGAGGCCCTTGCCACCTGACTCTGCCTCCAGACTCCACAGTCCACTGACTTTCCTCTAGTCCAGTGGTTCTCGACCTTCCTAATGCAACGACCCTTTAATCCTCATGTTGTGGTTACCCCCAACCATAAAATTATTTTCATTGCTACTTCATAACTGTAATTTTGCTACTGTTATGAATCGTAATGTAAACATCTGATATGCAGGATGTATTTTCATTGTTACAAATTGAACATAATTAAAGCATAGTGATTAATCACAAAAACAATATGTAATTATATATGTGTTTTCCTATGGTCTTGGACGACCCCTGTGAAAGGGTCGTTTGACCCCCAAAGGGGTGGCGACCCACAGGTTGAGAACCACTGTCACCCACCATCTTTGTGGCCCTCCCTGTTGCTCCCCGGTTACTCTGTCCCTCTCCACAGCACTCCCCACACCGCCAGGCCCTTGGTGGCCCCACACTACCCTTTTTAAATAGAAGGGACCTTTGTTAACTAGTGACTAAAACTTGTGTTGTCAATAAAGAAAATTCATTAAATATAGTATTGATTTTTTCACCTAGAAATAAATGCCCATTTTTGTACAAAAAAATAGAATGCTTTAATTTTCCAGGTAGAAATTACTGATTATTGACCATAAGTAATTTTTAAGGTAAAACTGTTAGATTATATTGCATTTTAATTACCTTTTAATTAAATTATACTAAATCATTGTTTTATAAAATTTATATTGTGTGTTGTGAGAAATTACTAATAAGTGTGTTTCTCTGTTTCCATTTTAGAGACAATAGAAAGAATGGCATGATAGGACTTATGGATTTCTTCATCATAACGAGGAAAATGTAAAAAATCTCAAATAGAAAACTCAGAAGACATGCCATTAATACAGAGAAAAACACATTTTAATGTCGGAAGAGTGTGTTTTAAAACCTTGGCACCAATTACAACTTGTCATTAACCACATGCAGACGTTGCGTGAGTTTTTCTGGTGATGGAAGTTGAGTGTGACCAGTGAGTCCGGGAGGGGGGCCTATTTAATGATTGCTCTTCACTGTGTCCTTGTAAGAACCTTCAAGGTGAATCACTCCTAGTAGTAAAATGATCTGTTTGACTGAAACAATCTGTTCGGAAGCTGCGGAGCGGGGAGGAGGATGGGCAGCTTAAACCCGGCCATCCTGGTTTTCCGTGGGAAACTCTTTATGCCCTGGCAGCTGTGCCCAAGACAGGCCGGGGGAGCACCCTGGCCAAAGCTGGGTCTTCTCTGGGAGAGGCAGGCCTGGGAGCTTGCGCTCACCGAAGGGCATCTACGACTGCGAAGCAAACTGGACAAGCAGTGGGGACCAGCACTTGGTCCACTGAACAGGAATACTGTGCAAGCAACAACACGCCCGGCAGTTTTCCCGAGAGCTGGGGGATGGCTTGGCTCGTTGGTCTGTGCCACTGGCCACCTTGCTAATCAATGTTAGCATAGTGAAAAGCCAGAGCTAGGAGAAAGGAGAAAGGTTTTGCTGTTATCTAAAAGTGTGTAGGTTTTTTTTTCTTTCTGCACTTAGGTGTGTAAAGTATATTTTTCATCGGGACACTAAACTCCCTTATTTGAGATGATCATTTGCCTGGACTTTTGGTCACCATCCCAGTAAATAGACAACATATAGAGATTACTGAGAAATTTACAAGTAACTTTTGGAGTTTCTAAAAGCTTTTACAATTTTTTAAGTTGCTTTAAACCTTCTAAAATCTTGACTGCCCCCCCAAATTTAAATATTTCCCCCAGCTGTAATGCCTCAATACATGGGGCTCAGAAAAAAAGAAATCTTAGGTTTTGCGTAGCGCAGTTGTAAGTCACGGCGCGGATAAACATGTGGAGGGGAGCAGGCTGCAGGAAAGGCTGTGCGATAGAACCCAGAACGGTGTTGTGCTTGAGACAGAAAGTTGGCCACCCCAGGAGCGCACACAGGACGTTTGCATTTTATGAAGATGCTCCGGCCTATCAGGAGACAGAAAAGGAGAGTTTAATAGAAGTAACAGCTTCCCCTCAGGTGGGACAGCGAGGGAACCGAGGACTTAGGAGAGCATCCCGACCCCCAGGCTGGCCCTGGACTGCACAGTCAGAGAGGTCCTGGAGCCCTCGAGGTCTGCGGGGCTCCCCAGGTGAACCAAAAAGGAAGCCAGAAGCCGAAAGGGACGTGTGCTGTGCCTCTTCCCCTCCCCCCACCTTCTTGCGTGTCCCTCCAGTGCTAGATGAACATGGACCTAGCTGGCAAGGAGCTGTGAGTATAGAGGCCACAGAGAAGCTTGTTTGAACATGCAAGTCCTCAGGGAACCCTTCCTTCCTGGGGAGTCTGCTGGAGGAAGAGAGCCAGGCAACCAGAAAGGCTGGAGAGGGCACCATGAGACCGTGGGAGCACTGGGTATTGTTTACCTGTGCAGCTAAGACCAGGTGAGGAATCTAAGGAAGGGATATGCTATCGTAAGTAATGGATGTATGCGCTGACTGTATAGGTACATATCATCTGTCAGAAATTTTGAGGCTAGAAAGTCTATATGAATGTTAAAATGATGTTCACATCAGATGTAGGGGAAATTTCATCACTGATCATAGTAGAGAACCAGCATTCAGTAACCAAAAAAGAAAAGACTAAGGATATTATGTAAAAGTACATGTGGTAATCGTTACAGCAAAAGTGCAAACCTTCCTAAATACCTAAATGTAAGCAGGGAGGTAGGGCAGCGGAGGCTGAACCAGGAAATAATGGTACCGTGCGGGAGGAGGGAGGCATGGACGAACGAGGCGGAGCTTGATGCTGGCCTTCTCTGAACCTACCTTTGTGCTGATTTGATTGTGGAATCCTGTAAATATTATACGTAATTATAAAACATATTCACACTTAAGAGAAAGCACTGAAAATTGGCAGTAAAACGAAACCAGTGACCTTAACTGTGTATCCAGTTGGTGGCGTCACCGCAGAAACTATCCCATGCGACTTTAAAGCCCAGCAATTTGAATATTCTTAGTGAATTCAAGAAGAATGTTACAGAAAAGGTTTTTAGTAATCAGTATTGGTACTAGAATACATGAGTAACAATTTTGGTGTCATTACCCTGGATTTTGGCATGGAAGAATGAAGATACAAAGTAAATTAGATAAGGTTAAGTCACAATCCTGTGGTCCTGATTTATAACTGAGTATCTGTATGAAATCATAGTCTCTGTCCACTGAAAAGGGCCAGAAACAGCCACCCGTCCACCACGTGGGGCCACATCTACTGGCCAGACTGTGGGCTCTAACGACCCTTCTCCGGCGAGAGGAGCCAGGACTCCCTGATGCAGGACTGACTCAGGGTCTTGGGAAGGGAACGGAGCAGATGAGGCCATTGTGTCACACGGAAGTCAAGGTCCATGTCAGGAAGACTTGGGAGTCAAGTTGAATGAACTTCTACTGGTCATAGGAAGTTCGGCTTTCAATTGAGTTGCTACCTGCCTTTGGAGAGCTCACGTAAATGCTTTAATAACTACACACTTTATTGTATCATTAACGAATCCATGCGCTGGATAAATAAACCATTCAAGTGACTGGAGGGTTTGAACAAAGGAGCTGGAGAGGGAGACCAGCAGAAACTCCTTGGCTGCAGGGAGACTGGGGTGGGGTCCAAGGGCCTGACGGGACTGCTAGGGGCTTGGGGATGAGGGACCAGGCTCTGTACACACGCTGCATGTGAGCGGGGCAGGTGGCCCACAGGGATTCAGCACCTCAAGAGACAAGATTTTTCTAATTAAAGTGACAATGACGGAAACTGAGCATTAAAAAAAAAAAATCCCTGGCATTTGTGAGATGTGGGCTTGGGAAATACCTGCTTTCCCTTGATTCAGAGGAGTGAGTTGGGGCAAGGGGGCGGGCGGGGGTGGGGTGGTGGAGACTGGAAAAGCCATAAGATGCAAGTCAGCCGATGTGACTTTGACCTTAGGACTTCAGAAATTGTCTGTCCCATTGAAGTGCATGTCCTTGTCCTTGTCCCTGCAGCGGCAACCAGCGAATTATTTGGTTTTCAATCCAGCTCTTATTTGTCAGCTTCTGTATTTTCCACCTTTAAAGAAAGGGGCTTCTGTTTTGTTTTGCTTGGTGTTCATGATCTGTAGGAAGAGAAAAGGTGGAAGTAGAGGTGACTCTGGAAACATGACCGCCTGGCATGATGGGGTTCTCGGGGCTGGGCAGGGCCAATGATTTTGTCCATAAAATGGTTTAGCTATAAGTCGTTCATTTCATTTGCACTTAGCTGTTACTTCTTGGCAATCACTGGCATACCTGTGAATTCCTGTAATGTGAGAAGATGGAGCTTTACAAATGGTTTACAAATGTAGTGGGATTTTTATGTATAGTCAATTTGACTACTAGTGAAGAATGAGTATATAAATTAATCATTGGGTTTGACTTCGCTGTTTCCCAATTTGCAGCCTATGATGTTTTTTCAACCCTTATACATTTCAACCCTTATACAACCCATTGAAACACTGGGCAGGCCTCAGGCTCTGAGCCTTAGCATTTAAAAAAATGAAAGGCATTCAGGCTCTCCCTAAGGAAAATCCCAACTCCACTGTGTTGCTTTGCAGAATTCATTTTCCTTGGTTTTCGAAGTGGACTCTCACCAGAGGCCCAGGAGGTGGCCGCAGAAGTAGAATTAATCCGCTTGTCTAGGGGACTGACCCAGAACTGAGAGTCCAAGAGCAGCCTCCTGGGCCCGGTGCTGCCCCAGAGCTCGGGCCACCCACCTGACTGGCTCCCCGTGAGGTCAGAAGACCCAAACGGGGAAGTAGACTGAGTGGGTGTTGATGCGTTAATGTGCAGTCTTCCCTGGAATGGTTGGGTTTTTCCAGAAGCCTCGTGGACACTTGGTATGTGACCCCACCCAGGTGGAGCAGGGGTCCCCTACATCCCCGCGCTGAGATGGAGCCAGCTGACCTGGGATAGAGGGCGGCTCCCTTCTGGGCACACGCTCCACCCAGTTCACCACCCCACACCCCAGCTCCGTGCTCGAACCTAACCAGAGAGGAGTTACCAGGGACAGGACCAAGATGGCCAGACAGCGGCACAAGGTGCCCTGGCTACACAGTTCAGTGGGGCCTCGGGGCCTCTGAGGTGGGGATGACATTCTGGCTTAGATAAGAATGCCTTTACCCAGTGCCTACTCAGCCCGGGCCTGTGGCGAGGGCTTCCCAGCTCACTCAGTTCTCACACCAACCTCACTCAGGCTACTACCGTTACCTGCCTTTTACTGGTGCAGGCGCAGCACCTTGCCCAAGGTCACTCAGGTAGAAGGTGGTGGGGCTGAGACTGGGCCCTGGCAGCCTGACTCCAGAGCCTGGGGAGCGTCTACTGTAATAAAAGGTAAAGAGGAATGTGGCCCTTGGGGACAGGACAGTGATGAGAGGGAGAACTCAGTTTTTGGTTTTCAAGTGGAAATTGTATAGAGTGGGCCACCTGTGTGGGACACTTGTACAGTGTTTGAGAGGAAGGTTTTGTAAAAGAGTCTTCACCCAAGTGTGAGAGGGCTAAGGGGAACCCAGGAGAGAGGGTGCAGGGCTCTGGGCCAGCCGTGGGGGGGCTTTATGACCGTAGGCCTGAAAGGGTAGGGGGAGCAGTCACTGGGGTTCAGAGAGACGGCTGGAGCTGGGAGAGGGCCCCTGGCAGGAGCTGGGGATTTGGTAGAGAGGTAGACACTCCCCGCCCCCCCCCCCCCCCCCCGCCGGGACCCCACAGGGAGGCAGCTGGGGGAAGAAATCAGACCCCTCTCATTTGCCTCCCACCCTCTGAGCTTCTGCCAGGGCCTCCTGTTGGCCAAGCACAGCCCGAAGCCTCTGGATGCAGAGGTCAGCTGCCTCAGCCTGGGGCAGGGTGGAGCAAGGAGAGGAATGCTTCGGGCAAAGAAGTGGAAAATATTCAGCACACAATCATCTGTGTGAAAGCAGGTGGGGAGATCCGTATCTGTATCTCTACATATTCATACGCTTGCTTATAGATGGGCAAGTTATTTCTGGAATGATATGCACACAAAAACTGGTAGAAACTTCTGAGAAGTGTCCTACTTTCCATTGTGTAACTTTATCTACTGTTTGATCTTTACCGCCTGCACTTATTACATATACAATCCATCCATCCAATAGGGACTTGCATGTGATCTAAGCTAGACAATCATGAAGCCCCCCCCTTCCTGGCCACAGTGATTTATCCAAGGGTTGGCACGTGACCCACACTCAGCCAATCAGAGCCTTGCCTGAGCTTGTCAGCCTGGAGCTGGGAGGAAGAGAGGTCCTTTCCTGTGGTTGAGGATCCAGGATGTGGGTCTAGAGATGTACCTGATAACAGTAGCTAACAATTGTACGATACTTACATTCCATTGAAACACGTAAGTTAGTGACAGTCTCCGTTTTTCATCCCCCAAAGGAAATTTCATCTAGTTCAACCTATACAGGGCAGACTCGCAAGGGGAGGGGTTTGTTCAGGGCATGTTCACCGGCAGGCTGGGAATTTGGGGGCTGTCTTGGAATTCTGCCTACTTTATAGCAACCCCATAAAGCAGGTGGTATTGTTATTAACCCCAGACTATAAATGTGACAACTGAGGAAGAGGGAAGTTAAATAACTTGTCCAATATTGCACAGTGGGCGTCAGAGGCCCCCAGTGTGCACCTGAGTTCCCCTCTGCCGTGTGCCCTGGTATGGAGGAGCCTCACTACACTGGGGGTGGAGGGCATGCAGAGGAGAAGCGGAGAAGCAGGGACCTGAAGGTTAGTGGTCCTAAAGGCAGTACCACCGCAGCTAGGCTCTCTAGTTATAATTAGCAGCCAAGGCCTCTGCCATGCTTTTGCAAGGTCAAGGAGAATGTCGGGTCTTTGCCCTGATGTAGCTGGATTTCTACATCAATTCTTTCCCATGTGTAATTAATTGAATAGTGGTCTTCAGTACCATCCATGCTGTTGCAAATGGTAAGAATAGTGGCCCTTCAAAAGGTATGGCCAAGTCTTCACCTTGAACCTAGGAATGTGGCTTTGTTTGGGAAAAAAGCCCTTTGCATATGTAATTAAGAATCTTGAGATGGAATCATCTTGGATTCAGGGTGGGCCCTAAATCCAATGGCTGGTATCCTTGCAAGAGAAAGACAAAGGGAAATTTGAGATGTAGACATAAACACAGGGGAGAAGGCCATGTGAAGATGGAGGTGGAGTGTGGAGTGATGCTGCCACAAGCCAAGGAACCTGGGCAGCCACTAGGAACTGGAAGAGGCAAGGACAGATCCTCCACTAGATCCTAATACCAGAATTGTGAGAGAGTAAATAGCTGTTTTAAGTCACCCAGTTTGTGGTAATTTGTTATAGCATCTCTCAGAGTCTAATACACCCCCTTTCCTCTTTTCTTGCAAACTGAGTACAAAGGGGCATAAAAAATGGAGTAGAGCTCTGGTTTGATCCAAAACAAGATTTAGATTTGGTTTTCTGTTGATCCCAAAGATGAAAACCCTTTCAGGATTCCAGAGGTGAGGTAGGAGGGTTTGAGGCTGTTGGAAGTTGAGGGACAACAAGGGAATCTTGACTCATTTAGAAGATGAGAGAGATTTCTAGAATGGGAAGAAGATAGACTGGCTCTCAATACATTTTCTAATTCCCACAGACTTTCTGAGTTTCTATGGCAGGCAGAATTCTGAGACGGCTTCCAAGAGTCTGCCCCTGCTATAGACACCCTGTAGAATCTCCTGTCCTCAAGTGTGGGTAGACCTGTGAATATGATGGGATTGTTACACCTGTGACTGTGTACATTATGTAAGTTCCAGCAGTGGCAGACTAGAGAGAGACTTTTCTGCTGGCTTTGAAGGACCCAGCTGTCATCGTGAGAGGCCAGGTGTCAGGACCTGTGGGTGGCCTCTGCGAGTTGAGAGCCACCTCCAGCTCACAGCCAGCAAAGAAATAGGAACCTCAGCACTATGACTGCGAGGAACTGAATCCTGCCAACAACCTGGCTGATTTGGAAGTGAACCCTGAGTGTCAGACAAGCCCGCAGCCTCAGCCCACACCTGATGTGGTGTCTGCCACGTGGGCAGAGGACTCAGCTTGGCCTCCTGACCACAGAAACATTTGAGATAATGAACGTTTTCATCCACCAAGTTTGTGGTAACGTGGTATGTGACAGTTGCTGACCAAAGTTCTCCCATATTGTAAATGAACAGAGACCACTGAGCTTGAGCCTTGATTTTATGTTTTTATGACCCAATAATAAAAATGTATAATTCTGAGTTGTATTTTTAGATGAATCACACATTAATTCAAAAAATCTTTTGAAAGTCTCTAAAGAAAATAGAGAAGCCTGGCTGGAGTGGCTCAGTGGTTGAGTGTCAACCTATGAACCAGGAGGTCGAGGTTTGATTCTCGGTCAGGGCACATGCCTGGAGTTGCAGGCTCAATCCCAGGTAGGGGGGTGTGCAGGAGGCAGCCAATCAATGATCCTCTCTCATCATTGATGTTTCTATCTCTCTCTCTATTCCTCTCTGAAATAAATGTATTTTTTTTAAAAAAAAGAAAATAGAGA